TGAAGGTCAAAATCCAAAATTTGACACATCCGAAGTAGCAGTTTTGTAGCCTTGTGTTGAATCTACACGTTTTCTATCGTTTTTTTAGTTGAAACATTTTCTCTGTCTCCAAAACCGTGGGCGTGACAGTTCTTCCCGCAAAACCTTTTTTGGGTCGAAAATGGCGGCACATGACGTCACTCTGACGTCATTTGCGGCCAACCAATCATATAGGCTTCGGAAAAATATTTGATCACAAGGTGTAAAATTAATGCCCGGAAGGATCCTAAAACTTTCGTGGCGATACCTGCTATACTTTGGGAGATATCACGACTGAAAAGGACAGGGGGCTGACCCCCCCCCTCAGCGAGGCGCGATTTAACCCTCGCCCTGGCAAGTCCAAATCGACCCTCCACCAGTATTTGAAGACTATCTTGAAGCTGAAGCTGCTCAGCTTCAGGATGCAGACTTGGCCTACCGTGGTCCAGAAGTGCAGGCAGCTGGATTTCGCCAAGACCCACAAAAACTGGACCATTCAGGACTGGAGATGCGTCCTTTTCAGTGACAAGGTGGTCTTTGTGGTCTCTAAGCCCCTAACTGCCAGAACGATCGAAATGTGGGCCAACGGCAGCTCTGAGGAGTCCGCTGTCGAGACGGTGAAACGTCTGCTGAAGAATCTCATTTGGAGCATGATGAGCTACAGAGGCGCTCTGAGCATCACGAGGTGCCTCGGGGACAGACCGTGATATTACTATGTCGAGGTGCTGAAGAAGACTGATGCCACAAAGATGCTGAGGGAAAAGGTAAATGGTTCAAAAACCAGACTCAAACTTTTGTCGGACATGTCCAGGGCCATTTTTCAGCAAGAAAGGGCTCCAGCTTATCACGCCAGGAAGACCCAGGACTGGTGCCGAGCGAGGCTCCCAGGCCTCTGGGAGAATGGGACATGGTCTGGCAACAGTCTGGACCTGTCCCCGATCCAAATTATCTGGACGATCGTCAGAAAAGAGCTGAGCAAGCTTCCACGGGCTAGCTCAGAGAAGAGGCTGTTTCAGAAGATATAAACGGCATGGCGTTGTTTCAAAGGAGAGACTCTTGACAACCTGAAACGTGACACGCTAGAGTACAATAGGCCGTGTATGCAACTGAATGGGGACTATGATAACATATAAGCCGTGAAATAAATTCGAGCACTTTATAAGTTATCCCGGCAGTTGCTGGGGTATTTCGCCACCCACCGTTTGCTGGGGGGGGGGGGGGGCGTTAAACGCCCCCAGCCGATAACTCGAGAACCAATAGGCGCAGCGAAACGAACGAGGCGGCAAACGAAAGAACGCGACGAGACGCTTCAGATGAGTACTTTAAAGTTGAATTTTGAGGTCACAGGTCAGGTCAAGGTCAGGTCAAACACCTGAAATCGGGCTTTCAGTAGCATGGACTTAAGGACTTCGCAATGGGCGCCTCTCGTCATAAACTCTCTCAAAACGGTGCACAATCCATCATATAAGGCCTACAAGAGTGTCAGCTCCATGTAGGGGTCAGTCAAGCATAGGTCAGGGTCAAGGTCAGGTCAACCGGGCAGGCACATATCCCCGAAAATCAAAACTGATATTCGCAGCCTGTGACACATGTTTTATGGGTAATTTGGGGCGTAGAACACGATGGTGACATTTATTTTACCACATGTGTACGTGTTTGGCTAAAAAAAGTTCAATTTAAGAAATGCATGTATCATGGTCGTGAAGTGGTCACGAGAAATTGCCAAGATTCAGTTCAAGATTTTGGAAAATGCGGAACGATAATCAACAATCGAAGATAGCCATGTGATTGCTCATGGTATTGGCAGTCTAATGGCGTTTACGGCATGTCTGTATGTCTGTTCTATGATTTTATATGATTTTTTGAACATATTATGCCGTTTTTGGTCGAAAACTCAGAAATCATGACGTCACTAAAACCTCGATATCTCAAAAATTTTCCGACCGATTTTTTTGAAACTTTGTCACAATAAACTTCAATCAATTTCCTACAGGTACCCAAAGTTTGGCGCGCCTGCGGCGCGCCGTTTTTATGCTATGGCCCGGCGAAAAAAGTGGGGGCGTTTAACGCCCCCCCCAGCAACTCGCGGGTTATTGAGGATAGAACAACCGCGCATCAATTTCGGGACACCCTGTACATAAAGAGCTACCTATCAAATGCGCTCCTCCGCGACGCTATAGTTCTCCCCCCCCCCCCCAGAGATGTAAGCCGATTTGTTTGAAAAGTGCCAGAATAGGCGAAATGTAGGTATGTAACTTTTGCTGACATCTGGTGACATGACGTTAGAATTGCCAGTAGGGAGTTCATGATTTTTGACCTTCAGTTTCGATCACCTCGCCTACCGTGTGTCGCTCCGTGGTCCAGCCGGCTGCCAAGTCAGACGGCGTGTTCAACCCTCCAGCCCGGCGAATTCGTAGTAACGAGCACACCGGGCCGGCGAAGATGTGACCTAGGAACGTCGATGACCTTTGCAGATCCCAAATAACCCTAATCATCATTATTAGCTTGTTTACATATGAAATGAAAGCGAATCGCGCTACTGCAAGTAGGCGCATCACAGATGGCGCAGTGTGTCACTGGCGTGAGATGAAAATCCTACGCCTCATGAAAGGTCTAATGTTCAACCACGTCCAGCTCCAATAGAACCAAACACAAGATAAGCATGTATTGTTACAATATCGACACCTCACGCACTGGGAAGCAGCACATTTGTAGCGGTCCTCTCAATGTCTCCCGCTGCCCGACTCAGTCACAACGGTTACATTCCTTCACACGCAGTGCGAGCGACCGTCAATACGTGACAACACGACAGGCAATAATAGCGCACGGGGAGACGGGCAAGTCCCAGCCGTCATACCTTAGCGCCGGGCTTTCTGTAAACTGTCGCACACACCGCGGCCTAAAGCCACCAAAACATATCACTGAACGGCGGCCAGCCCGCGACAGTAGCCATCAAATGACACCCGCTGGGGACGAGCACAAAGGGCGACAAACCCTCACGAGATTTCCGTCTGTGGTGAGCGCGGTACCTCACCAGCGTCCGTCGGACAATGAGAAGCCCTGGATCCAGTTTTGATTACCGATATTCAGATCGTGGAACTCTGGATACGCCTCCGGCCGGCCGGCCGCTGCTCATCAGCTGTGAGTACGCATGCATTGCACAGTTTGCTGATCGGGCCCCTTGCATCCGCACCCTTTTCACAATAGTCGGAGCCGCCAACACCTACATAGTCGGCTCACCAACTGCCGGCGGATACTCTACCGCCTATCGCTGGCCTAATGCTACCTGCTCTACTCCAGACAGGCGCAGCCCACACAGCCCCGAATGCGGCCGGCCGCCCGATCGGGTAGGGGACGCGGCAGCGTCCGGGGCTCCGGGGCAGAACCCTGTGTCATCATCACATGTTTGCACTTGGTAAGCGTTGTTGCATTGAAGAGCCGGCGAACGATGCCGCTCCCGTGAGCCTAGAGCTGACGTCCGCCGAGTGAACGTGGCAGCAAAATGGACCCCTCCCCTTCCCCTGAGGGTTGAAAATCCACATTGGCGCAGACATGGAGGGCCAAAGATCACACAGATTAGAAGGGCGAATCATTGACCGAGCTAACGATGCCCAATGATTTTACTTGAATATGTGTAAGTTGGTGACCTTAAGCCCTAGAGTAAAGACGAAGAAACCAGACTGACCTCCAGATGATGTTGAAGACGATGCTGTAGTCGACGATGATGAGAAGAAGACGACGAAGAGAAGTTGTGCACAAATTTTCGGCCCTAGGCATCCTCAGGTGATGAGAGGGGAGGTAGAGGTAAGGAGGGGGAGGAAGACCACCTCCAACGGTCGCCGCGGCGAGGCACCAACTGTTGGCACCAACTGGTGCAAACAGTTGGTGCCTGGCACCAACTGGTGCCAACAGGCACCAACTGTTGGCAGGCCTGGCACCAACTGGTGCCAACAGGCACCAACTGTTGGCACCAACTGGTGCCAACAGTTGGTGCCTCGCCGCGGCGACCGTTGGAGGTGGTCTTCCTCCCCCTCCTTACCTCTACCTCCCCTCTCATCACCTGAGGATGGCCTAGGGCCGAAAATTTGTGCACAACTTCTCTTCGTCGTCTTCTTCTCATCATCGTCGACTACAGCATCGTCTTCAACATCATCTGGAGGTCAGTCTGGTTTCTTCGTCTTTACACTAGGGCTTAAGGTCACCAACTTACACATATTCAAGTAGAAACAATGCCCTACATCCAAGAGGCGTTCCGACAATTAAACAAGATCCCAATGATTTTATCAGAGTGACGTGCTGGTTTCACAAAAAATGCTGTGAAAATGTGAACGTTGACCAGAACGGGACCAAAATCAAGCATTCGTGCAAGCGTCTACACAAAATATCAGTCAGAGGTAGTGTGTATGAGACGGTGGTTGGTACTACCGGGTGTTCACTAAAAATTGAGACAAAGTTTAGCAGGCTGTATCTTCGGTAAAAATGTACCGATTTAAACAAACGAGGCATTGTTGTAATGCACATTGCATCTGCTGCAAGCCGTAGAGCGTCAACAGCTTTGCCTGATCCCTGTAGGCCATTTTTTGGACATTTCCTTGGAAGTGTTGTCACAAGCTCTGGCACCAGTGGACCGTGATGTTGGCCAGTTGATGGTGGTAATGAGCAACCAGTTGATATTTTGTATGAAATCGAAAGACACCAACATACGTTATAGCTTTAGGCAAATCACATTAGATACTCATTTGTTAAATTTCAGGCGTGGAAAATGGCTTATCGGGTCTCGTTCCAATGGGAATTTTTACATCGGCCGGGGCCCTCAAGGCGCCCCTTGGTTAGTGTGCTGGCGCGAGGTCGGACCAGAAAATCACCTTCTGGTTACATATGTTGTTCTGCATGAGCCTCTAGTGCTTAATAATACACTTGGCTCAAAAAGTATCATATTGTAAAGGACCAGTCTGGAGGAATAAAGTCGAACTGAGATGATATTCTCTGAAATAACACATACACCACGGCATCCAGCGTTAGCTTGCATGCTGACACTTAAATGGACGTTAGCCCTTGTATCATCGATCACATCACAACAGAACACTCCATTGTCTAGTTAATTGTCGCCCTTTAACTAAAAACATGATTTTTCTACCTTAAATAGTTCAACCTTTTTTCTGCATTTTTTGTCCTTTTTTTTTGACCATAGCATATTTACTTCTCTGGCCTTATGTTGTTCCCAGTCGCTTCGAGAAATCATTTGCGCCGGTTGTAACTCAGCCTAGTCTCAGGTGTGATATATCTTCTTCGCTTAGGCACAGTTAATACCTTACTGATCAGCAGCATTGCGCCGTGAGGTGTCAAAAAGCCCCTCCACGTGCATTTTCGGGGCCCCGACCCTTCCTCAGGTCAATATCTTCCGAATTACACCACTTCAGCTTTTCGGACTCCCACACCCTCTAGAACTTTCGTCCCACTGTACGGTATGTAACTAATTTTGACATTTTAAGTTTTCATTAGGTATTTGTGCATGCCAAACTCTCCCATTGACGTGCTATTTTGGGAAAGCCTGCCAATGGGCTTTTGGTAGTCCTTGTTTAAAACGACCTCCAACGCCACTGTTTTCATTACATCCGTGAAATTTTATGCTCGATATGAAAAAAACGTCCCTTTTATGTCTATGCTAAGTTGCATCGTTATAGCTTGCTTCACTTTTGATATGCAGCCATTCAAAGTTTGTGTCAATTTTTAGTGAACACCCTATATATTCAACAAAAGTTCAACACTACCGGTAGTGTTGCTCCGTGTGCCGCTCCAAGGGGTCAATGAGTCATGATTATCTGCCATCAATATTTGGAGAGTGACGGAACGGATCTCAGTAACTTTACCTTCCTGTGAGCCGTCTAAAATTTTCTTGTTTAATTAGCACGAAAGGCAGCCTTACATATTTTCAATAAATTCAAAACGGCGACGGAAGTCAAAAGTACACACATTTTCATTTTACGAATTGACAACATGCGAAGTACAAATAGCAGACCCATCATGACTATGAATTAAATGTTGAGTTCAATGATCACTTCTTGAAATTATCCAGAACGAAGCAGGGCCGCGCATATGACGGTCTGGATTGACATTCGGTAAATAACACATCGCAGCTTGCCATAGTTGGAAAGAGAGAGAGGGGGGCAAAGCGGAGCACATCTTCCCAATATCTTTAAATGGTGTGCAAAGATAACAGATGTGATAGGTATAAGCGATAGTATAAGAGTGCCCTGAAGTAAACTAAAGTCACCATCCTATGGAAGTCTCACGAGTCTCGACTGACCCACTGACTCGAACGGCGGCGCGCCTCGGTGCCTGTCATGCTACCTGACTACGGTCGTAACCTCTGAGTGACGTTCACCTGAGTTATAGCCAGGATGCGCCTCTAAACCTGTCAACTACCGTACATCGTCACAGCCCACGTCATCATCCACGGCACGGCGACATCATATGACGTCATCACAACGTCATGCGATACGACCAAGACATCACATGCTGTTTCACACCACAATATTATCACTTACTACTAGGACAAGAAGCACCACACTGACGTAACGTAGAGACACTGATTTCGCGCGGTTGTCACACATGACATCACTTTGACATCATGCTATGACGTTTCATGATTTCAGATAAGATTCTCACAGCGTAACTATGGCATATACCGCGCCTTCTCGACTGACGCAACCCTGGCACCATGCGTTACCCCACATCCAGTGGTTCTGTCACTGTCAGACGCAAACTGACCCATCCCTGCCCCAACAGTCGCATCCCTTGCAATGGCACAATGCACACATACACAAACATACATGCGCACAAACACAGTGCACAAACACAATACAATACCGCGCCGACGTACATACCTCCATGACTTGATGGTACAGTGGCAAATTGCCGATAAAATGACTGCACTAGCTTCTGAGCAGTGTTAACGTACGGCCCAATCCACCGCGTTGGGCAGAAATGCCGACAGATCTATATATGAGCCCAAATCCCTTAATGACTGCTGTGGGGCGCCTCCCAGCGGCGACAATTGGCCAACCATGACATATGGAAGAGCAGCGCGGAGCTCGTGGACGTCACCTGGACTTTAAGCTCGCGATGGAACTTCCGTTAGCGTAGAGAATATATCGAGCGCTACGAGCGAGCGCCACTGGCTGTGGCCGGCTGCGGGAACCAGCCGAGAGCCGACCGGTGAAGATTATGAACACTGGGTGGCTGACTGACACCCCTATCGATTAACACATGACTCTCTAATCAGTCTATGACGACCCCATCCCCAGTCTTTGTACTTGATAGAACGGCTCTGACTAGACGCACCGGACGGCGCGGTGCGGACCGCCCCGTGACGGTCGCTCACACATCAGTCGTGTCCGCGTGACGGTGACCGTGACGGCCGTTATGCGCCGCGTGACGGCCGAACGGGCTGGAGGGCACGGTCCAGCCTCCGCCTCCCGTCGGCGCCGAGCCGTTTACCAGCCTCTCGGACTCGGCAATGTCGGCCAGCTCGTGAGAGGTGGCTCGCTGAAACAGCGCCTGCGGCCGGCCGTTCATCAACAGACTGTGCTTGCGACTCGTGTTGAGGTCGACCTCGTGCGTGTTCTGACCGTCAAGTTGGACCACCGACAGCGGAGCGTCCAGACACGGCGAGATGAGTCGAGGGTAGGAGGCGAACCGCTCCACCACCTCCTTGGCCTCCGGCCGCTTCTCGGGAGAGTAGGACCAGCAGGAGAGCAGCAGCTCGGCGCTGGGAACACGACGAGGAATACCGGTCAGACGAGCCGAGCGCCCGACGATATCGGAAGACACTTAGCGGCAGTTTGCGTAAAGAAATCAGACTTGTCCACAACGTTAACGACTGACAACGTTAACGACTGACGTTGACAGCGTACACATTTCATTGTCATTCATTGTCATTTTTCATTGTTAATATGGCTCAATGTTATTCAGACAGTGCAATTTCAAATTAGCAAAATACCGTTACTACATTCTCACTACCCGACATCAGTCTGTGAATGGTACTGCCTCATCTTCCGACCCCATCCGTCCTATACCCCCCTCAGCCCCCTTCCCACCTCTCAGCGGTACTCACAGCTCGCCTTTGACGCCGTCCGGCACGGCCACGTGACTGCCGTGTCGCACATGGTCCACCACCTCTGCGTTCGAGAGTCCCTGGAACGGGATGCTGCCAAACGTAATTATCTCAAAGAGCAGCACGCCGAACGACCACACGTCCGAAGCCGGCGTGAAGAGGCCGTCGCCCAGAGACTCTGGAGCCATCCAGCGCACGGGTAGCATACCTGTCGGAGACGGCACCGGGGTCAGAACAGTCAGCAAACAGAGGACAAACTTAGCTTAAACAAAGGCCAAACTGTGCACATATGCGCCACTGAGGTAACTGAATATGCAAGAGATCATTGATAATCGTTTTCACCTAACATGCAACAGCTGCTATCGTTTTATTGTCGCCCGAAGGCTTTACTATAGCTCCGCTGTAGTCAATGTTTCCCTCACTTACCTTTACGATTAAACCGATAGTAGTCATTCTCGCACATGGAGCGCGTCATTCCGAAGTCGGCCAACTTGACTGTGTGCTGGGCGTTGACCAGGCAGTTCCGACACGCGATATCCCTGACGACGGGAGAAAACAATAAAAAACCGTGAGCGTTCGACGAACCGGTAAACAGAACAGAGAATCGACCTGAACAAAAGTTGTTAACATATAGACCTTTACTTAATGCAATTGACTCGAGGCATGGAATGGCCAACGTATGCAGCGGATATGCCTCTCGATGTGAAATAAATAAATAGATCATGCCTAAGACAGATATATAATATATTTACATTGGACAACGATTATTATCGGTAATAGTTCGCGATTCATCTTCCATGACCCGGAGCATCCAGCCGCGAAGTTCGCCCATCCGTGCTATGCGGTACAGCATACCATTTTAGGCAAGTCATACTAGTGACATCTAGCGTCAGATAAACAAGTACATCTGAATGTGATATGGGCACAGCGTAACTGCAGAAGTTATCCATCTATCTAGCTACCGGCAATTCGGAAAGCCTACCAATTTCGCATTCGGAAACCGAATTGATAGTCACCTCCCGAACTGATGGTTCCATCCCTCCCGGGAGCCCTGAATGGTAGGTTTAGCTAGCCGTGAAGCCTCCAAGAGGTTCTGCTCTTACCTGTGCACGTATTTGCGCTCAGCCAAGTAGGCGAGCGCACAGGCCACATCTCGTGCCATAGATGTCAACTTCTTGCTGGATACTTCATTATTTTCGTCCATAAACTGTTTGTCGATGACATGACCACGTCGGGCGAGCAGGAAATTCTTCAGGTCACCTGAAAAGAAACACATATGGGGAGCATCGCATGGCAGAAAAATGATCGTTGTGGACAAAATTCAAAGCATCTATCCCTTACCTATCGGCTGAAAAATGTCCCCGGATACCGGACCTCCTCTGACGTCACGCCAAACCCCGTGACGTCATCGCACAAACAGACGGGCCACCGACGCGTCTCGGAGCGATCCGCCGGATCAGGCGGTCCGCGGGCGCAGCGCCCGGCCCCATTTGGACGAGCTTAGCCCGTGCCAGCCGGCGCTAAGGCGCTTAATCGAAGCCCTCAGCCCTGTCCGCCCCCACCCCGCCCCCGTACCTAATCGTTCGTGATTGCCGATCGGAGCACTGTGCGACGCAGACAACACGACGCGACTGAGCCTTCATCCTCCAAATCCCCTAGGACATCGCAGAACCTCCACTGATATATAACTTAAAACTTTGAGATTGACAGCAAAGGTCAGTGAATAAAAACGTTACTGTTGCCCATTGTTTCCCGCTAAACAGTAGGTACGGAGAACAGAAAGACGCACTACCAATCAGATAGTTATTTACAAGTGATAACAACAAGCTGTTCGTGAAAAAAAAACTGTAAAATAATCGTATGAGTGTCCCTTCAGCATCCGAGACCGCAGCTTACCGTACAGCATGTACTCCATCACCGTCAGGATCGGCTCTGAGCGTGTACACACGCCCAGCAGCTGCACGATGTTCTTGTGGTTGAACTGCTTCATCATCTCTGCCTCGCTGAGGAAGTTCAGCTTCTCCTCCAGTGTGCAGTTGTGCTTCAGCGTCTTGACGGCCACCGAACGCTGTGGGCGTTAAATAGTCAACGGTAGGTAGATCCGAGCATGGCAAGTCGTGTCTGGTTAACTGAATTATAAAAAACATAATATTAACCCTCGCCCGCACATGCCACTTTCCCATCCTAGAACACACATGGGGGGGGGGGGGGGTGCCACTCCCGCGCCATTTCGTTCCTGTTGGAGATAGAGCTTCGCGGTAATGACCAAAAAAAATTCTTTGGGAAAAGACGAATCCAATGATACCCAGTTTTACCTTCTCAGGTCAGTCATTGACCTTCCAGGTCAGGCCAAACTAAAAAATGTTGCTGTTTTGGGTCACCGTTGGATATCAAGTGCGCTGCTCATCATTCACCGATGACGATGCCGAATTGTAGTGCCAAGCCAGCTACAGCCTCTTTGTCACACTATCCGACCAGGTTTTTGCTGCTGAGGTCATTTCAGGTCAAGTTAGGTCAAGGTCAATTATATGTGTTTGTATGTCTGTGTGTGTCTGTGTGTATACTGATGTGTGCACCGGTTGTTTATGTGCCCATATTACATGAGATCATGAAATGAGAAACTTTTATCGAAAATACAGTCAAAGAAACTTCATGATAAGTAAATTCAGCTTGCCTAAAACGCAATGTTTTTAGATGACCTTGGTTGACCTTGACCCTGACCTTGACATCTGTACATCACACAGTGGGCGATCCGGCCGGTGTAGCCTTGCAAAATCTATCGGCATTCATAACATCCATGTTTTGAAGCTAGAACTTCAATATTTAGGAGCAACCTTCTTGAATATCTAATGAGCATATCTTTTAAATAAGGACTATGTCTTTCAGGATTTGTGCTCTGTGGCGAGCTTGCAATTTGCCTAATTGCCGCTCGAATAACGCATGAATACTTTTAGGGGTAGGTCGAAATTCATGAGCTGGGTAGGACATTGAAATGGTGTGTACCTTCTTAGAAAATTCCTTTCAACCAATTTTTTTCAAAACAATTATGCCCTACCAATTTATACATATCATGAAACAGCGTAAATCTCGCCCGATAAGGCCCCATTTCATAACGTGACCCAAGCAACGGGTTTGGTTTTTGGTAAATAACTTCGCAAAAAATGGCCGCAGAACCACGATTTTGGCATCGTCGTGTTCGCCTTGCTCAGGCGCGTCGAATGGTACACAGTTCAGGTGAGGCCACCGTAAGGTGTTGACTTCGAGTCAAGGTCAGGTCAGAGGTCTTCAAGTCACGAAGTTGGTCGAAGGAGGTCATATCGCATAGCATTCGATTCGGCAGGTCTTCCGGAGTCCATTGGTGACCTTGTCGACTTCTAGCTCAATCTGATTGGGAGTTATTGACGAACAACTCAATACAGGGTACAAATCAATACAACTCAATACAGTGCAGGGTTAGCTTATTGCATGACGTCATAAATGGCGTCATGCAAGGTCAACAATGCAAAAATGCAGCATCAGATCTTGCAAGGAGTGCATGAAGTAAAGATTCCATGTACTTGAGATAATTGTGTATCATTCCTGGCGCCAAAATAACAGTTTTCATGTTTCCCTATTAACTTAGGTGAAATCACGTGACCAACCTGACTTTATGTGACATTTAGGAAAAATATGAGATATAAAAGTTATAAGACCTCTAAAGGACAATAAGTCCTGCAAGTCTCACTTCCCTGTGAAAGTTACTCTGGCACTGAGAGCGTTGCAAAGTTGCGACATCTGAGGATCGTGCAGAGGTTCATTTATGACGTCATAGGCCAATGACCTGACTTGACTTGAAGGTGCGGTTGGTGTCACAAGATCCAGCGTGCATCAATGGTCAGGTATGCCAAGTTGCAGCTCTCTATCGCCTGGGTGTTTTGAGCTATCGCGAAAACACCCTTTGGGGCATTTACCACTTGTGCTCAAGTGCACCAAGCCACGTCCAACCCTTAGAAAAAGTGTCTGGATGCCAGGGCTGCAAGTGGCTGCAAATTTTCACTGGTTCCCTCAATAGATAGTGTCTGAGTACATGCGATACAGCATTATTTTCAGTTCTTCCTCGTAATACTTTTTTGCTGGGCTTGGTTAATTCAGTGAACGTAATGTTCGGCGGTAGAAAAAAATATAAAAAGGTAACCTAATTATAAGACATTTTGAACTGATTTTGTCTGCTTGCTTCCTATGGCGGAATCGTCTAAACATCTAAAGTTCACATTCCATGCAAAATGGATGCTCAACACCTAGCAATTTCATCGTTTCGCAAAATATTCAAAGAGCGTAAAAATCGGCTGTGATTATCTTCCTTATGAAGTGTTACGGAACGCTGTCTTTAACGATACTTTTGTCTACGAAAAAATGTCTCCTGAGCCATGCAAATGCACCATTATAATCGTAATTTTTGATTAATTTTCTGTCGACTAGAATGCGTTGCTTTCCAATTTTCGAAAAAAGTGTCTTTGAGGATTCGAGAGGCTAGACCGGCCCGATCGCCTACCGTGCATCGTCGAACAACACATGTTCCATGATAGGTGGGGGGTAAGACTGGCAAAAAAGGCCGAAATCAAGGTGTTAAAAGCCCACAAGACCCATAGCCAACGCAAGATATTGGATATTTGTCATTTGGGTCATGACATGACCTGAAGAACAAGGTCATATCTCCGGAAGCAAAAACCACACAAACTTCACATTTTCAGAGTGGACATCAAAAAAGGATAGGTGAACAACTATACGAAAAATCAGCCTTCTAGCTCTAAAAATGTTGAGTGTAGAGCAGAAAAACTACATGGGGGGGGGGGTGGCAACTGGCAACCACGCCCCCATGTGCGGGCGAGGGTTAAATGCAATATCACTGCGCAGCATTACTGTAATTACATACCGAAGCAGAAAAGAGCGATTGACGTATGATATATGCTTTTTCCCTTCAGCAACCGGTCAATTTACTCTGGTCAATATAATCCTTAACCCGCGAGTTTCTGGGGGGGGGGGCGTTAAACGCCCCCACTTTTTTCGCCGGGCCATAGCATAAAAACGGCGCGCCGCAGGCGCGCCAAATTTTGGGTACCTGTAGAGAATTGATTGAAGTTTATTGTGACAAAGTGTCAAAAAAATCGGTCGGAAAATTTTTGAGATATCGAGGTTTTAGTGACGTCATGATTTCTGAGTTTTCGACCAAAAACGGCATATGTTCAAAAAATCATATAAAATCACAGAATAGACATACAGACATGCCGTAAACGCCATTAGACTGCCAATACCATGATCAATCAAATGGCTATCTCCAATTATTGATTATCGTTCCGCATTTTCCAAAACCTTGAACTGAATCTTGGCAATTTTTCGTGACCATGATACATGAATTTCTTAAATTGAACTTTTTTAGCCAAAAACGTACACATATGATAAAATGAATGTCACCATCGTGTTCTACGCCCCAAATTACATATAAAACATGTGTCACAGGCTGCGAATATCAGTTTTGATTTTCGGGGATATGTGCCTACCCGGTTGACCTGACCTTGACCCTGACCTATGCTTGACTGACCCCTATATGGGGCTGACACTCTTGTAGGCCTTATAAGATGGATTATGCACCGTTTTGACAGAGTTTATGGCGAGAGGCGCCCATTGCGAAGTCCTGAAGTCCATGCTACTGAAAGCCCGATTTCAGGTGTTTGACCTGACCTTGACCCGACCTGTGACCTCAAAATTCAACTTTAAAGTACTCATCTGAAGCGTCTCGTCGCGCTCTTTCGTTTGCCGCCTCGTGCGTTTCGCTGCGCCTATTGGTTCTCGAGTTATCGGCTGGGGGCGTTTAACGCCCCCCCCCCCCCCCCAGCAAACGGTGGGTGGCGAAATACCCCAGCAACTGCCGGGTTAATCCTTATTATAATCTTCATAAACAGCTCACTCGGAAAGCAACGAAGATTTCCTGCTCTGCTCACCAGTTCCATCTCGACCTCCTGACCGCCGCGTTTTTTGTCCGGGCCGCGGTAGGACCTGTCCTTGGGCAGGGTGGCCTCTCCGCCGTAAACCGTGCCGAACGCACCCTTTCCCAGTTGGCGGTTCATCACCACGTTATCCCGACTGATCTCCCATCCGTCCAGTCTCAACTCCATCTTGTTGGTCAGTCCCATCTCCCTGAGACGGAGCATCTTCTTGTCGTACCTGGGAAACCAGATAGGCCACGCTGAATTGAATAGTTGGATAGTTGGACCGTGGAAGAGCGATGGAGAACGGTGATACAATCGGTAGATACCAGTGAAAAGATACGAAGGATTACCTGCTGCTTTGGGAACCTCTATCAATAGTTATCTAATAAAATTGGTATACCGTGAATTCACAGAGCAGCCCACAAATGACAGTGCAGTAGCGACTAAATGCGTATTATCACAAAATAATCCACGAGCCTTAAAAACTATCAGTTCATCAAGCTGCATATATCGGCGTTGAACGGCACACACCTGCGTTTATAGAAGAGAACACAGCAGATGAGCATCAACAGCACGAACAGCAGCACAATGCTATTGACGATGATCATGGCGTTCTCGCAGGTGGTGCCAAGGAGGTCTGCGAGCGGCTGGAGATCGCACGGGTCTGAGGAGCCGTCCACGGGGCGGCTGCCGTCCGAAGTCAGCCACCGGATCTTGCGCTCGTCCAGCCGCAGTCTGAGATAAGAGAGAGAGAGAGAGAGGGGGGGGGGTACTCCTCAGAGCTAGGCAAAGGGCATACAATTGTGCAACATGTGAATGCGCGTGTTACAAAATGCGAACTGTTCGCGTTACACGCAGTGCTATTCTGTATGTTCACCGCGCGCAATAGCCTCTTCAACTGTGACGTAAACAGTCATATTTAGCCGTGGTTCATGAGGTAGGTTTTAACGAGACTGACCACAGTTTCCTGTCATGAGTCCATTTTAGGCCGTGATTTTTAGATGCTCGGCCGGGACAATGAGGCGTTTTCCGTTCCACTCACAGCACTGGTTATCTCGCCCCAGATCCAGGCTAAATTAGATCGAGGGGTAGGGGTAGACCGGATGTCCCGATATTGAGGCCATCCTACACAGCGCGGGGGCAGGCAGCGGAATACGGGAGCGGCGTCCCACGCGCATCTAGACCGTCACCTACACACTGTCACCAACACCATATGCGACTGAAAGATAAATGTCACTGCAGTTCCGTTCACCAGTTCGTCCGCCGTCCACCGACTAACGTCTACGACTCTACACTCTACACTGTCCGTAGTCCGCAGTCTACAATCCGTCGTCCACTGTCGTCCACCTTTCCCGTCTACCGTCCACCGTCCATTGTTTACAAATGGCCGTCCATCATGCAATGAGAACAACATAATATGTCCAGTTTCCATTGTCTACCGTTCATCGCTCATCGTTTAATGCCCATCATTCATCATCTATCGTCCACCGTCGTCCACCGTCCACTGCCCACCATCAACCGTCCACAGCCCACCATCATTCGTCCACCGCCCACTGCCGGCCGCCACGCAACATCACATATCATCAGTTATGCATGAGACACCCGAAAACGGTTCTGCCGAGTCATGTAAATGCTAATGGCGCCGGGCCGCGGTGGTCGGGTGAAATCGCTCGCCTCTTTGTGTAGCACCCGCCATGGGGAGAGCGAGAGAGGGACGGACTTAGGGCAGATTAAGAGTGAGGGAGGAATGATGATGAAATATCAGAGTGGTCCAGAAAAAACAGTTCGATAAATGTTCCAATTTTGAATATTTAAGTGGAAGAGCTCCTAACCGTGACGATTTGGATGGGGTTAATGGAATGAAAGCTTTAAGAAACTTTGCGAGACTCTGCGTGCCTCAGAATTCCCCCATTCAGACCAGCGAGGTCGTCATTTTGTGCCAGTGACGTCACTCACATGCCTCCGTCACCACTGTCGACGTCCGGCTCGAAGTGTCCGACGACGTGGTACTCTCCGCGCAGCCACTGCTTCACCAGGATGATGGAGATGCGGGACGGTCCCACGAACTGGATGTTGCCCGACACGCCGTTGAAGTTGGTCGCCTTCAGAATCTCGACAAAACGTCTGGAGGAACATACCCCGGGCTGTCAGGAAACGTATGCGTAACAGTTAGATTTCCATGTATGTATTCACAAATGCATACGGGACAATTGTATACCTTTTGCAAGTCGCGGACCGTTAGAAACACAAATAAACTTAGTAACATTTACATTTTAGAATTAAAGAAAAATGAACAAGTAAAGGGTTCAAAGCAATAACTAAGTCTCAGCTAAAAGCGTCACCCCGGACGCTCCAGGCGCTGAGGACTCACGCTGTAGTGGGCCCCGTGTGGAAGTTCTGAAAACTGGACGGTTTCTCCGACAGCAGCTTGTCCAGAGCCAGGGCGTACGTCCAGACGGCGTCGTAGGCGTACCCGGCGTAGTCAGACTCTTCTACGGCGTACTCCTGACGGAAGATATTGTATTGTATTGTGTGCTACTGAATATCACGTCATATTTCCAGCAAAAATTCTCAGCGAGTACCCGCAGAGCAGGCCTCAATACGGACGAACTGTCAAAACAGCAGCGTCGGAGGTGTTCACAAACGATATCAACACTAGCCCGCCAATATCACTTATTAATAGCAATAGACAAAACCAAATTACCGCAGCATCCAATCCAATAACAGCACATCCGGCGTTCATAATGCAGAGACATACGTACTACGGTGGCCATTCTAATCAAACTGTGTGACGTCACTACCCTGTGACGTCACTGTCCACCCTGGGCTCACCTCCTCACACTGCACACTATAGTTGTGTCGCCACTGTTTGACTGTGATGCCCTCCTGCATAATCTCCGTGTCGTTGGCAAAGTAGGCGTGAGAAAGAGTCAGGTGTCCCTCCAGCGCCTGAGGGTAGAGGTCAAAAGTCAGAGACGAGACAGTCTAGACGGCCAAAGCAGGTGTTCGGCTTTATACTGCATATCGGCTAGAAAATGACAGCATGAGCGATCGTGACACTAGGTATACACTGTGACTAGGTAGTGATGACGCGTGAGATGTATGAGTGCATGTTGATAAGAAACATACATCGATCCGTCATAACATCTCAGCTGCACGACATATTGTAGAGATCACTGTACAATTATGCATTTTAAGCTGACCTGCATGAGTTCTTCTGGCTTGCACTTGCTGTGATCCCCATCGGTGCTATCAGTGCTATTTACCAGATACCACTCTGACGAGAACCACTCTGGCAAAAACCACACGTAACCCTGAAAACCGAGGCAAAATGATAGGTCTCAGGTATCCCAACAGGTGCAATCAACGTGAAATCCCAGACATTTATTGCAACCATTCGTGTTACTTTGCTTCGCGAGAAACTATCATGTGCGCAGAGACGCACCAGCATAAGTAACGTGATAGGTCTTCTTTCTACATAACTACTTCACAGTATCCCATTGCGGGAGACGAGGCGGAACATTCCATCTGCCTCGCATTAGTCTCGTACTGTCAAACTCGTCTGAAAGCCCACCAGATACGCTGGTGGTGGCTAGAGGCTAGACTAGTGAGCTCGGGAACAGCGAGAACGACACCTGATTCGCGCTACTGGGTACTGCATCAGGTACGAGCAAATGGTCATTAGTCGCTAGCGAGAGCGCTGAGTGTAACGGTTTAGGACATGGTATCTTATACCGAGGCATGTTGAACGGCTCAGGCGGTGGCGTTAGCTCCCTGCTGGCACCCACCTGTCTAGCAGTCATGTTCTTCAGGTAGGCCTCGCACATGATGGCGCGCGCAGCTACTTCGTACGCCTCGGCGATAATGATCCGTGCGTTCTTCTCGCGCAGGTCCGTCAGGTACTGAGGACAGAAAAGCAGGTATTGCAATGAGAAGGCCTGTCATGTAAGCATTGTGAGCAGGTCTGTCAGATACTGCGGAAAAGAAAGCCAGGGATTGCGGTGAGATGGTCAGTCATGTATTGCGGGCAGGTCTGTCAGATACTGAGGACAGAACGTCAGGGATTGCGGTGAGAAGGCTAGTCGTGTACGTGCATGTGAGCAGGTCAATCAAGCATGTATTGCGATGAAAAAGTTCGGTAGTTACCGTGCGATGTGAATTCAATGGCCAGAGCAAAAGGTCAGTAATGTATTTATTGCGGTAAGGACTGTGATGTCAGGTACTGCTATGAACGGAGGGAAATAAAAGAAGCAATGTGTGGAGAGTAAACGCCTAATAGTATGTGTGAATCCGGTGAACTAGAATATGAAATACCGAAAGCATTTCATCTAGAGGGCAAAAATAAGGCTGTTAAACAAGGGTCATCACACGGAGGTGGGAAAGATACATATTACCAAATACGGAATGGAAAGACTACGCAATAATCAAATTACATTCTAATTTAACGGACCCATTGAGCGGCACATGCAAGCCAATTGGTTACAAATAAAGGAGGTCGACCTCTGTACCACGGCAGAGAGAGACACGAGGCATGGCGGACCGTGGCTGAGAGACGGCCGGCCGTGCATTCAGTCCCGTAATCAGCCCAAGTGGCACTTCTGGTGCATGGTGCCAGCACGACTGATTGTATCAGACCAGTTCCGAGACTGCGACAGCGCAGAATAAATTCGATCAGCGGAAACGGGCCGCGGCAGAAACGACGCATCGGTGACGGTGCGTCACATCCGGCCGGTGGTCCCTAGGGGGGGGGGGGGGAGGGAGAGCCACTGCCCACCATCGGAGGCTCAGAGGAGAGCGTTAGCGAAGCCTAAGGTAAAGGGAGGGAGCCCCAATGTCTAGTCTGCGGCTTACGGAATAAAAAAAGGACGACAAAAATGCTTTTGATTCTTCAACACAGGAGTTGGAAGTGAAAACAATCATAAATATCGGTAAGCTTCTCTAGCACTCAGTTTGATTCAACCCAGAGTTCAATCGCGGATATGGAGCAAGTCCGTCGAATCCAACCGCATCCCACACGGAATACTGGATGCCCTTTATTTCCGGCGCCGTGGATGTGGCCGTTGGGCGATTCAGCCAGCTGCACAGTGTCCCACGTCGCCATTGCCTGTTGCGCATCGGCAGCCAACCGATTATAATCGGCGGTCAATGGCGACAGCCGGCTACGACGCAGCAGCGACGAGACGACGCAGTTCGAACGGCCGTTAGCTAATTATAAGCGTCCCTGATCCGTGCTTCTGGGAAGTGCCCAATAGTCTATGGGATTTACATTGCTTCTTTTCAGCCGATAACCATGGAAAATGAAAATGTGGTGCTGATTAAGCGCATGGACTACCACCATGCTCCAGAGATTCGTATCCTTATATACTTTCTTCGAAGATGGGACATGCCTAACAGTTTTGAATGTAGTTGAGTAAATGCGGTGTTCGGAAAACTGATTCGTCTCCACCACCTCATAGAATAATCGTCCAGCTGCTTTTGATATTTGGGGCATTCCACGATAGATCGTACCACTTTTTTCCAATTTGACACTCTCATCTCTCGGATTTTAACGATAATTGGTCTAAGGGGTAATCAGGGGCTCTGAATCCTTCTGGGACAATTTCAGGCTGATCAGATGAGTAGTTTTTGAGTTATAATGTATAACATGTTTTGGATCTTGCGTTGCAGCGCCAAGTTTGGCGGGCTGTAACTCTAAGACGGATAACACTGAACAACAAAATTTGACTTTTGTCATAGTACAGAAAGCAGAATACCCATTTCTGTGGTAATTTGTGACGCTGAACACGAATCTGGCATCAGAAATGGCGCATCAGGCTAGGTTTTTGAGATCCAGTATGTCTGTGTATCTGCTCTGAATGGCTATTTTCAACATTTCCCTCTTCCTTTATATGACATTGCCGGTGACTCCGAAGGAAAAAGCTCTGTGTCTGGGGCAATTTAGGGTGCAAAATACGAATCTGGCACTAGAAATGGGGTATCGTGTTAGGTTTTGGCATTACAGTATGTTTGCGTCCTTTTCTTAGGTGCATGTACTCAGCTTGTTATTCTGTCTTTATATTACATGGCTAGTGATCCAATTTACTTTCGACAATCAAAATATTGGTGATATTTTGATTGAGAGGTTCCATTAGGACATCGCCGTGATGGAGAGCAGATATCAGGGCAAGTCTGGTCCCAATATGATGGGTGATTACTGCTGGACACTGCAGAGAGAGGAACGTCAGCAGGGGAGGAGACAAAGCAAGAATCAGAAGCGATTCTAACAAGAAGAGTTGCTGAGCGAGAGGAAGATGCCAAAGTGTTCGAAATGACCAAAAATCTTGCCTGTGTGGTCGAGAGGTAGCACAGATGGATGACCATACCGTTGGTTGATTGTACCTTGCCGTGATTGTACAATATGTGATTACCTCCATTGCGCTGTGATGTGTGATATACATTTCTGTTCCAACAAATTCAATAGTTTTGTGCTCATCTGTGTTGCCTGGCTGTGGTAAATATGGATTAAAAAGATATATAATCTAGGTCTAAGGATATCTACAATAGGCCAACAACAATGCATAAAAAGTGAGAATTTAAGGCATCAGTATGTACCAGACAAAAAACTGAGCCCGATGGGGCTAAACGGTGACCAGATTTGGAATCAGCGGCCTCGAATTAGGTAGAAACGAATGCTCACCTCTCTGTACATTTTTGGCTGTTGATCAGTGTAATCCAAATGCCAAATGCTATACGGCATTGAACTTGCATTGAAACAAAGAATAATGTGCATTTTTAAAATTTTGAAACATAAACTATTTTTGATATACGAGGCGTGTCATTAAAGTTCCAGGACTGGTGCCACACAAGTTTTATTTCAAATCCAGGCTACAAACTATAGGTTATCCCCTTCGAAGTAATCCCCTTGCACCGCATGCACTTGTCCATCCTTCTCTGCCAGGCTTGCATGCACTGCTGGAAGGATTCTTGCGGGATGCTCCTCAGCTCCGTCGTCACGACCTTTTTGATGTCGTCCGCATCATCAAAACGGGTCCCCTTCATGACCTCCTTGAGCTTGGGGAAGAGGAAGAAGTCGCACGGAGCGAGGTCAGGTGAGTAGGGTGGTTGCTCCAGCACGGCGATGTTCTTCTTGGCCAAGAACTCTCTGATGCTCAGGGCATTGTGAGCAGGCGCATTGTCGTGGTGAAGCAGCCACGAGTTGCCCTGCCACAACTCCCGCCTCTTCTCGCGCACTGCACGAAGCAGACGCCGCAGTACTTCTTTGTACACATGTTAGTTGACTGTCTGGCCCTGTGGCAAGAACTCGCAGTGGACGATGCCCCTCACATCGAAGAAAGCGATCAACATGACCTTGAAGCTGGACCTGGACTGCCTTGCTTTCTTCGGCCGTGGCGACGCCGTTGAAGGCTCTGGCGTTTGGTCTCCGGGTCGTACTAAAATACCCAGGATTCATCGCCGGTGATGACTCTCCTGAGCAAGTCTGGTTCAGTTTCCAGACGCTCGAGGATGTCCTGACACACCTGCATGCGTCGTCCCTTCTGGTCATCGTTCAGTTAAATTGTTAAACGACCTCATTGTTAAACGACCCGCAACAGAGGACATGATTTTAAAAGCACGTAAGAAAAAGATTAGTGACTGTAGAGGGTTGGGAGCGCAGTTGTATACTCCAGAAGGATTACTTTGAAGGGGAAATATGGTGGTTTGTGGCTTGGGTTTGAAATTCATCTTTTAGGGCACCAGTCCTGGAACTTTAATGACACACCTCGATAACACATTGAGATTCCTTTCGTTTGCATTTTTATGCCTTTGGGACCATTTTTTTTGAATTTTTATTTTTTAAAAACATTTTTGGATCATTATTAAGTAGTATGCAAAAAATTAGGAAGGTGTTCTTTCTATAAATGTACTTATTTTGCGTCACCGTAATGGTCTCGAATTGTGATTTCGGGAAGAGAGCCTACAAATGGCGTGGTAAAGCTGCCTAGTGACATCACTGGTTACTGAAAGTCCAATTGAAGTCATTTTTGCCTCACGTTTGCATTGTTGACCTTGCGTGACGTCATTCGTACGTCACTAGGGTCATAAGAGTTTTTCGTCAATAATTCTCGATCAAATTGAGCTAGAGAGACGGGAAAGCTACCAATGGACTCGGGAAGACCTTGCGAATCGAATGCTGTGCAACATGATCTCATTCACTCAGATTCGTGGCCTGATCCGACTGTTAACCATCTCTGTGGCGGCGCTGTTGTCCAGCGCCGCGCTGGTTGGCTTTGCCGCGGACTCTGGGCGGTCACGTGATGCCCGGGGGCTGGCTGCCGGCTGGGCCGCCCGGTCGGGGAGCGGAGCCAAATACACGGCAGTGTGCTGACCCGAGGTCAGCGACTTAAGCTGACCTCACCAGAACAAACAGTACACCATTCGACGCGCCGGAGCTAGGCAAACACAAAGATGCTAAAATCGCGGCTCTGCGACCATTTGTTGCGAAGTTATCTACCAAAAACCGGACCCGTAATTTGGGTCACTTGAAATGAACTCAGAGGTCACCAATGAACCCGAGACCTTAAAATGTGGTATCATTCGATGCATCTTGTAACGGCGCACATGCTCGTTTTTTCCGCAAGGTTCTAGCTCCATTAGAGGCGAAGCGGCGAGCTGGGGTCGTACCGACCCCCCGGAAACCCATTTTGTACGCATTAAAATGAGGAACTTATAGAAAGAACACCTTTCTAATTTTTTGCATGTCAATTTTAAATGACCTGAAATTTATTTAGAAAAAATAAAAATGGCAACAATTTTGGTCCCAAGGGTCGTGATAGACAATTTTAAAAAAATATTACGACTTTTTTCAATATGTAAAGCTTTTCTTTCCAATTTAAACAAAGCTGTATTAATCTTTGATTCATCGTTAGTTCAAAGCTGTTTACCGTTTGTTGCTTGCTTTGCTCGTTTTTGAGTTATAGCTCATCAAACTCACCCTTACAATCTGAAGTTTAGAAAATATTATGCAATGTAGCTCAAAAAGTTTTCATCTGAGAAGTCTGATATTTTGGCAGGTGTTTTTGGAGCCTATGATTACCCCTAGTAACAATTTTCATTCAAATATGAGAGATGAGGGTGACGGCCTGGTACGATTTGGGCCAATCTCTCTTTACATTTCATTTCTTCAATTGATTACATAGATCCAAAAGACTGTGATGAGGGGAAGACCCGAGAGAAAATAGCCTAACTAGCCAACAGAAGAAAAATGCAGTGGCTCAATGTAAAACGGAAGAAGAGTAGACGAGGCGAGTCACGCAGTTTTCTCACCGGCGCCATTGTTTTGGTGTCTCGGGGGAACTTTCTGTTGACGATGAAGGAGATCTTGGACTCCTGCAGCATGTCGTGCATGAAACTGATGTACTCTGAGTATTTCTGACCGTCCTCGGTCAGCGCTGCGATCCGGTGCCACTTCATCTGCCGGAGCAGCTGCTTGTAGACGAACCTGTGGATGGCGACGGCGCACACTGGGTTAGATCGCGGCACAGAAGCGGCGAAATGCACGGCATATCCTCGGGAAAACTACAACACACCATGGGACTCACGCAATATTCCCGACCAAACTGAAGGACGTGTCATATCCACGAACAAACTTTGTCCTGTGGCGTTAAACACGTAGGACATTCACGGTCAAACATGGACACACAGGTATCAGAAGAACACACGCCACATTACCGGTAAAGTATCGACATACGGCAATTTACAGAAAGAAGGTTAAAACAAACCTAAGCCACACACAACTTCAGCCTTTTCCTTACGGTTATCTAACGGCATTTTGTGTTAAAACCAGCCACAGATAAAAAATCACTCCAGCGTACAGAACGATGTTATGATGTGAAACGCCCTGTGTCAACATATGAACTGTATGTAATGTCGACCACAAAACGATTTTCTCAACGTCACAGACTGCCAGAGCAGTTTGCGGTTACCTGATCAGGACAGCACGACATTGAAATCACTCCGCGCCCGTCGTCACCATTCACCGTGAATACACAACCTTCAATTCTGTCACGTCACGGCACTCAGACAGCTGGTGTAACGTCGAGCCATTTCGCTGAAACTCGTACAATTTTGACAGTCTCCTGCACCCAGCCAGCCCTGCAGAGCCTGTCAGCTAGCGAGGCCCAGCCAGCTACCAGCGAGCGGTCTCGGCAGATGGGTTTACAGAGCGTGGGAGCGGGTGGACAGAGGGAGAGAGAGTGACATCAGCATGCAGCACCGGGTCTGGAACGTTCGGGAACAAATAGTGCCGCACCCGGCTGCCGATGATTGGAAGCAGGCCACTATTGGCGAGCGAAGGAAAAAAAACATTGTGCGTATAGAGATCGGGCATGCGACATGCTACCTTTTTCTACAATACTAGCTTAGCTTTCTAATGTTTAGGTACTTAAATAGGCGTTATTAAGTCTGACTCGAGCTGTTCAATTCTGATAATTTTTGCCACTATGCTCTAATGTCCCCAAACTCCCACAACCACGTGCTGCCCGTCTCACCTGAACTGTTTGTTTTCGCCGATGGTGCGGAAGAAGTAGGGATACTGGCTGCGGTTAGAGAAGAGCACGCCCTCGGCGCTGTATGAGATCACCACCACGTTATAGTGACGCGACACGCCCACTATGGGCTCCACCGTGTCAGAGCAGGCGGGACCTGTCGGGACGGAGGGAGGGGCGGCTGTTAGCACTTGGTTAGTGGACGGGCCATGTTCGGCTGGTCTGGGCAGTCTGTTGGGCTGCGAAACTACCGAAACATGGTTGGGTGGGGTAATGAACGAGAACTAAGCAGGGTGATTGAGGTAATGTAAAGGGGAAATCTGAGCATCGTACGAATCATGGAACAAGTCACAAATCACGGCTGGATGGTAGATGAAGGGGAATTGAACGGCATCACTACTATATGTGTACCAATTAAATGGATCCCTTATGCATTAGCGATTAGGAATTATTTTAGCATCGCCCTAAAATACACGTGCGTTGACCCCCAAAACATCGACCAAGACTTATTGGCTGAGACAACATTTCTGCCTACTCATCAGTTGCTTTTCCACTTCCTCTTCGCCACTCACCAAGGATGCCGGCCATCTGGTTGTGATCCGGCATGCGCACGTAGTTGATGAAGCTCTTCATGACCATGTCGGTACTGCATTGGCCGTCCTCGGACTTCAGCGAGAGGTCGTAGTCGCGCAGAACCGTGTCGTTCTTGTTTACAGCGCGCACTGCCATCATGGCCGCTGTGGGAACAGAATGGAAAGGGACGTTCAACGTCGCTGCTTGCACGTTTGACTTAATTACACACTTTGCTTTGCTTTGTTCTGTGAATTGAATGATCTAAATTCAAAAACTCAATTCAATTCAGATTGATAAAAAGCGAAATGATGATATGAATTCATTGAGGACGATTTTCAACTTCTAACAAAAGGGTGTGAAAGATTACACTGTAATGTGTATACATGGCCATAGATATAAATAAAGCATATTTCAGCCAATAAAACAATCGAGTCAATTCCCATATATCTATCCGGTGCTTTAAAAACATCACCAACTAAAGAGGCCTGTGTGACGCACCACATACCCGGTATGACCCCTTTGGCCTTGTAGTTCATGCCGTTGATGGGGAATATGCCTCCGATGAGTATTTTCGGCCGTCGTGTGATCCGCCATCCCCTCCAGAGGTCAGTGTTTTTAGTGAGCCAGTTGCAGGCTGCATCCCGCAGCTGCGAGTGGTTACTGCCAGCGACTGCGTGCGGCCAGTGGTGCAGCATCGCCGACTGGCTCAGCTTCAACATGTCGATGTACTCCTCCTGCGTCAAGTGGAACTCGTGCAGCGCCTGCCGGGGGAGGGGGGGGGGGTGTAAGGGATATTGCGGAGATGATGGATAGCCATACATGTCTCTTAGTTGTTACTTCGTAAAGCGAGGGCCATGACTGGATTATGTTTGTTTTGTTTTGTTTGTTTTCTTGGGTTAGGCCCTTCCGGTCTGACAAGACCATTTCAGAGCCAGAGGTGATAGGAATTTGGGGGAGACATTGGTCTGGGCAGGCACCCTA